CATTTCCGATAAACCTTCAAAGATATCTTTTTCTCTATTTTTTACAAATTAAAAACTATTATATAGCATAATTTGCTGCATAAAATAGTTTTTGATGTATATCTCACTTTCGTTTTATCAAAAACAATTATTCTTTGTTGCATAGATCAAAATATATCAGCTAATATAACTTATGAAAAAATTTTATGAAAAATTAAGACTTACTGTTCTAAAGATTTAAATAATATCTTAACAGATATGTTAAAAAGATCGAAAAATTAAAAATCTTACAAAAGTAAGTCATTCGGAGATGAAATCCTTTCATATAATAATATAAAATCCTTTAATATAATAATAAAAAACACACTTTTATCCAGTATATTCTCTATAATTTAAATTTTTTTCACAATTTAGACAACAACTTCAGCGACACAAGAGTTCGTATGCAGGACAGAGCAAGAGGGAAAATCTGATTCACGTCCTGCATCAAAGGCAGAAGAAATAAAAGAAAAGAAAAGCGACGAAGTCGACGAAGTCGAAGCAAAAGAAAGACTAGAGTTCAAGGAGGAGGATCGTCCCGAATCTTGTAAGGCAAGATTAACGCAGGACGAACAAACAGTAGCCGAGGAAGATTCGAGCATCTCCACATCAGATCCGGTAGCAGTAAAAACCAATAACAAAGAGAAGATCAAGCAACTGGTATCCACGGAGATCAGCCTCGAGCAACAATTGGAGAACGTGCAGCGACAATTGCTGGCTTTGAAGCAGCTACCAAGTGAAATCGAAAATCACCTGAAGATCGTGTCTGAGCAATTGCATATGATCATGGAACTTAGTGGCGTACAACGATCCTTTGGCAACGGAAACGGTAGCTGCCGCGGGTTGTCAGGTGACCGAGATTCGTAATCGTGTTCAAAATAACCAGAGCAGACCTTGACGATTATTCTCTAGGCATAGTTTCGTTGCCATCTATTCTGAATGGATGCCAATTCTCGCGTCAATAATAAATTAAAAAATGAGATTGCATTTTATTAAAATTAAATATTTTTTCAAACAAAAACATTGTTTCGATATCTTACACTTTTTAAAAAAAATTAACTTATTCATATTTAGATCAATTCAAGTGTATATGAAAATAAAGCCTAGATTAAATAAAGAATACTTTAAATTGTTTAAATTTGTAATTTTAGATTCGTTTCATTCAGAAGAGAATACCATGCCACGGCAAAAGGACGAGGAAGAGTTGAAGCAGCAGGAGGAGGATACTGACGAAGAGGACGAGGAATTTACGGAGACTTATGATTACATCGAAGAGATTGCATGTTTGGAGCGAAGGACGTCATCGAGGTCAACGCCGCAAGTGATCGAGCCCAGTGATGACGAGGGGGAAATGGAGGAAGAGGAAGCAGAGACGAAAGAACTGGACGGTATGATTTCCGTGAAGAGCACGGACGAGGAAGGAAGTAGAGTGAAGAAATTTATCGTCTCTTATGAAACTAAAGTTCTAAAATCGCCCAGTCCAGCACCATCGCACGGTAACTATCAATGTTATTTATACTCGTGCATGAATTCTCTATTGGTCTCAAATTTTGCAAAAACACTATAATTAAACAGTGAAGTGTAACTTTATATAAGTGCGTAAAATTTTGCGATATTAAAATATTATTTTTCGCATTATGTTTGAGTTAGATATAAAACAATGTTGTAAAATACAACAATGCTACATTATAGGAAGTTTCGAACCAGATCCTAAACTGTCACCAAAAGACCAAGTTATACAGGAACTCCAGGTACCCGATGAATAGAATGATCTGTGTCTTAGGATGAAATGATTCCTCTTTATATTATTCGTGCTAAAAAATTATAAACTCGTTAAATATTGATGAAAGTTCACCCTTTTAAAATCCTTAATGAATTAATTGCGAATTAAATGTACGATGAATCAAAATATGTATTTTTATGGCTGAGCAATCCTATTTTGTGAATTTATCGTTCCTGCATCATCTCTTTGTCATAAATCGATTTCTATTGATATTAAAATAGTTTATATGTGTCGTGAATTTCGTAATTTTGTTTTCTTTTACGCGATTGATGCATGGTGAACATTCAAATTCGAGCAAAATCATTAACTTGTTATATTTTTAATTTTCAGCAAAGGGTGCACAAGAAAGGCAAAAAGCATTCGCAAGAACTGTGGCCGCAGGCTAAGCAACTCGAACTTACGCAAGGTCGCCGATGGAGATGTCCGAATGATTTCTTCAACGATGAGATGATAGCGGAAGTGTTGACCTGCCAGGCGGAAGTTATTCGTGGTAAAGCAATGGGGTAAGTATATTTTACTCAAAATAATTTCAAAACGAATCAAAATTGTACTACAGGATGGAAAGAAATCTGAAGAAAGATGTTGCGACTGTTCTAAAAGGTATTAAATTAATCGATTATACAGAGTGAACTTCAAGAAGTATGAGAAGACGAATTTACCAAATTATGATTACCTGATGAATTCGAGTGTTTATAAGATGATTCATAAAATGGAGCGAGAACCGAAAAGGGGTATTCCCGTCAGACCCGCTAAAGTCAATGCGGCGGAAGATATAATCGAAAGAGTTGTAAGCCTCTCTTTGTAATTTTTCACGGCTGTCGATATAAATCGCTTAGGCAGAATGGAGGTGATGATAATTAATTGTAAAACCGTGACAATCAAAATATATTTCTTAAGCGATTTTAAATGTGTTTACGGAAACATTTTAATGAAATTGGTAGTAGTATTGCCAATTAATCATTGTCATCCCTATATAATTATGTTATTTGATCCTATAAAAATTACATTTTTTATCTTATTTTAAATTAATTAGAATTAAATAGATGATGTAATCTGTCTGTGAGTAAACAACTTCAAGTATTTAGTCCGTAATAACTCAATCAAATTGCAAGATTAAGTAGATAATTTAAGTCAATATTAACTAACCAAGGGAAAAGGAAAATTTTATTTTTTAATATATTTTCAGAAATCACCGGCGTTGAGTGTTATAGACAACAGGAGCGCTCGAAGCGTCAGCCACTAATGCAACAGCGATTATAAATGATCAAAATGTAATATGATAGTACGCGTGAGAAATTTATGTATTTGAAGGATGTGTTAAATCTACGTATCTTAAAAGTTCAAGAAAACCACTAGAAATGTAATTATCTGGCATGTTAATCGCGTCTGAAGAATGTTATCGCACTATCATCAATACAATGTGTTGTAATAATTCTAAGCGTGTGCGTATAAGTATACGTTTGTATTCAAACCGCCTTGAGAAAGATTTTCTCCGCAATAAAGAAATCTACAGGCATTTCTGGATAAATTTACATTCAGATCAATTAATTCAGTAAACATTTATTTCTGCTGATCTGTTTGGATCTATTTGATCTAAAATGTATTAATTTATTTTCTTACTAATAATTTACTTAAAAATTTTTTCTCTAATATTTGATGACTTTGTCTGTTAATGTAAAATCCTTTCTTTCAAACATTTTTTATGTCTTATTTTTTAAAACTTTTTAATCAGATTAATTTAAATGATATAATATAATCAATAAATTTGTAAATCAAGTAAATTTGAATGAATCAGCAGGATTAAATACATAAAATGTTTAAAGTCTAAGAAACATTTAATTAATTTGCGCAACTGTGGCTATGTCTTGATACAGTACATTTGTCTATAATTGCAAAATCAAGAAATCTCATATCCTATTAGAATAAAATCAAGCATTATGCTCCTCAAAGTGTATGGCATTAATTACTTTTTTACCAATAATACATGTTTCTATATTCATATCATACAGATCACTTAATAATCAGGTGTGATGAGATACGTAGCAGGTGCGTAGTTGTGCCTGGTAATTAATTGATTTTCACGGAAAGTGATTTAGAAAGTGAAGTACGTGAAAGTGGTTCTGTATTGATTTGTGTTTGCATCCATTCGCTAATAAGAAGACTTATACTAAATTATTAATATAAGCTGAAGGATCCGTTTGTCTAATCGCATGTTTGTTATATGCGAGAACTGATAACATCACCTGTTACCATTAATTTTCATTGGTTTCTCGAAGCGGTTGGATACATGCTGTGTACCGTTGTTTCCCATTGTATACACGGAACCAGCATTTCACTCAATGCGGATTAACTGCGGCGATTGCTGGATCTCACGGACTACGTGATAATTGAAATCGACCTAAAAAAACAAATTTCCAAGTAAACGACCGCGATTGTCCGCTCTCTCAGAAATCCGCGGATGAGTCGCAGAGCATACTTTCTCCTTTCCGGGGTTTCCGAGGTCCCTGTTATCCGCGTCTCGCGTATGCGTACGATGGGCTGAGTCACGTCTGCCTTCCTGGCCGATGAACTTCTTTTTAGTTTTCTCCTTCTCTTTCTCTCTCTTTTACTTCCCCCCTTCTTCCTCTCCCTCTCTCTCTCTTTCTCTCTCTCTCTCTCTCTCTCTCTCTCTCTCTCTCTCTCTTTCTCTCTCTCTCTCTCTCTCTCTTGCTCGCTTAGGGTTCTCCGATCGTGACGTCGGCCTCGAGCAATTTATGTAAAGCATTCTAAGCATGATTCACGAACTAGTTCGCGCCCTCGTGACCGCCACCGGCGCAGAATGCAGTCGCCATGAGCACGGGTGCGTCCATCAAGGTGTCCTGTCTGCAATTTTTTGAACTCACACGTTATATTAATGTATTACATATGGAAAAAATGCATTTTGTTCTAATTATATTTAAGCATAATGCAACTTGTACTCTCTCGTCTGTTATCAATGTTAATGTAAGATAAAAAAGTCAACAATCTTTTTCAGTTGTACGGAGAAATAAGGAGATTTTTTTCTTCAATAAATATAATTCATTCACATGTTTTCGCCGCACGTCAATTTCGATAAATTCATATCTGATTGCCGAGAGATTTAATGGAAAGCATGTGACAGCGCTAGGATTTATTTAACGAGTTTCCATTCATGACCTCCTACGCGACCTATCGACGAGGATGACTAGATCCATTTTATATTATATTCTTATGCATTGGAAGATGTCTTCGAGATGCAAAGAAATTCCAAACATGTTCATATATTTTAAAAATTCAGTTCCTTTTTATACACGCATTTTAATCCTGAATACATGATTCTCATTTTTATAATAGTTTTATATTTTATATTTTTATATATATTTTTACATATATTTTTATAATAGTTTATTGCTTCAGCTCTACACAATTTTATACGTATTTTTTAATATGTTTAAATTTTAACATGTTTAAGTTTTCACTTTTGTAAGTATATATAAAGAATATTAAATGATTCTCATCTACATCTTTAGAGAATTATTTAATATTCTTCATATATATATACTTGTAAAATATAAAAATAATGAAAATTAATTTTCATTTCGATATGTGTGAAAAGACCGGAATATCGTATTCTAAGAATTAATATACGCATCAACAATAAATAAATAAAAACAGTCTTTCAAGAGATATGAGAATAAATTTGAAAAAATAAAATAATAATCAAGAGAGAATAATATAACTCTCGGAAAAATAAAACTCTCTTTCCTTTATATTTTAATTAATTTCTAAAATAGCTTGGAATTTTAAATTTTAATTTATTCATAACTAATTGTGTATGTTGAATCTTAATAATAAATAGTAAGACAAGACTTTGTCCAATAAAGAAAATATTTAGAATTTTTTTTCTTAATTAATAATTTATCGAAATTTCATTCATAATTGCCATATCACCTTTAAAATAATTGAATCACGTCGAACAAAGCCAAACAGAGAGAGAGAAGAAGGGGAAGGAAAAAAGGGAGGGAGAGAGAGAGGGAAGGGGAGAGAGGGGGAAGAGAGAGAGAGAGAGAGAGAGAGAGAGAGAGAGAGAGAGAGAGAGAGAGAGAG